GTGCGGCGGCGGCGAGGGCTTCGGGTCCTCTGAGACCTTGCGGTAGCGCGGCGGGGGCGTCTTTTTCGCGGGCGGCTCGTCGGGCGCGGGGGCAGGGGCGGGGGCGGGGGCGTGGCGCGGGCTGGGCGATTTCTTCGGGTGGGATGGGGGTGCGGCGTCGGTGGCGATGGCGGCGGGTGGCGGGTCGGGTGTGGTCAGCGCGCGGTATGCATCGTGGATCTGTGTGGGCCGTGGTGGTGCTCAGAAGGGTCGTGCGTATGGAGGTCGAGGCAAGCACGGCGGACGACGCACCTCGATGAATTTCTGCGTGGCGGTGTCTTTGTCGTACAGGTGCCGGTCGGGGTGCCATCGGAGCGCCTGCGAGTTCGTGCAGGTAAGTCAGCGTTCTGTCGTGCGGGCGTGCGTGCGCTGGCGCCGGGTGGAGATGCGACGCACCAGCTTCTTGTAGGCGAGCTTGATCTCGTCTGGGGATGCATCGTAGGGGACGCCGAGCGTGGCGAAGGCGTCGATTTTGTTGGTGGTGAAGACGGGGACGGGCATGGGGCGGAGACGGAAGGAGGAAGGAGTGTGGGTGCGATAGCGACGTCGGATATTCGTGGAGGTGCACAGGGAGGTGCAAGAGGGGCGATGGAGGAAAGGGAGAAGAGGAGACGGGCGGGGTGTGGGTATGTAAAATAAGCGAGAGCAACGAGGCAGACCGCAGCTGGGTTCCGAGGCGGTCCACAGAGCCTGTCAATGAGCTCAGCGCACCGGCAGACTGAAGACTCGACACTGATTACGGCGTTTGCGAGCGATCGGCAGCCAATCCAATGACCTGCCGCCATAAATACTGCGCTCTCAGCTGTAGGCCTCCATCATCGTGCGTCGTGGCCACCACGTTTTCTGTGCGCTTTCGGTGGGGCGGTTCCTTCGCTGAGTGAGGCAGATGCCAGTGCTTTGCGAAGATGTGCAGCTGCTTTGCACGCACGCACGTACGCACGCATGGGCACCGCCTGCTCCGATTCAAGCACCTTGCCCTTGTTCCGAGCGGCCAAATGTCGCAACGGGTGCGCTCGCTGGCAGAGTCGGCGGCTGTCGTTCCTGGACGCTTGCCGCATTTGGCCGTCCTCGCGTTGATTCCGCGCACGATTGCGAAGGGCGATGTCCTTGCCTTGCACACCACATCCATCTTCGCTGCATCGATGTCGATGTAGCTGCGGGGCTTTGTGAAGACGCCCATGATATCGAGCATGACCGTGACTGTGTCCGAGTCAGCTCTGCGCACCCGTGAGTCCACATCGTCCTGCGCGTTTGCATCCGAGAGCTCACGTACGTGTCTATGTTCTTCTGGAAAAGTCGTATTCGCGAAGACGACCTTCATCTGGTTTCTGGCCATGAAGGCTTGACGTAAATGGTTCATATCGGATATCCTCACCATCGTGCCAATGTGCCCGCAGGCTTCTTCGTCGGCACTGGGCTAAGAGATGTCGGGGGGCGCGGGTTTTCTTATCGCTGCGATCATTGAGGTGCGCAACAGTACTGTTCTAGCTGGTTCAGATGACATGTTCGTTTAAATGGGCGTCAGGTCAGGGTGTGAGGATGGGTTCTTCGCTTTATCCTGGCGCAACGACAGGTACTGGTTTTACTACCACTCGCGAGCATCGGCGCAGCAAGTCCTAGTCGTACTGGTCGCCTCCAGCACGGTGTCCGCTCTGCGTTACCAAAGCTACCAGCAAACAGACCTTCATCACATATACTGTTCTCTCGCATCCCGGCCCAGGACATGCACCTAGCCCCGTTCATCTCGCTTGCGCAAGCAGATATGATATCCGGCGCGCGAGCAATTACGACGCGACATCCGCCTTTTGTCTTCGTCCCCCTCTTCTCATCTTCATCTCCCCCAGGTTCATCCATCTATCGTCTGGGCCCACAAAGGCTACAGCCACGCTTATCAGATTCTCGGATTCTCGGATTCTCGGATTCGTGCCCCGCCGCTGGCGATCGTACAGTATGACGCACGCCAGGCCCAGCGCTTCATCTCGGACTCTTTGTGCAGCGATCTGCGGGAGATATGAAACTGGCGTGCGCTGGTTTCGTCTTCCACGAGATGGTACAATAGACTTCGTATATGCGCGCCTATAGTCCTCCTGGTCCCTGTCCCCGTGCATCTGACTGCCCCGGTGTGGGCCGCCCGACATCTTCTGGATTCGCTATCGCACGTCGCTGTGACGGCGTATATGCCCATGCCTACGCCCGTGCGCGCGCGAGGACCACCTCACTCTTCTTTCCACTTCCGCCTCCCACTGCCGATCCAGGGATATCGTGCGGACTCGGCGCATGTACTGGTATATGTACTGTCTCGTCCGCCCACTGCTGGCTCACAGTCTGGATGTCCCCATCCGAAACTTCGCTGGCCAAACAAGCCTACCGACTCTCGAATGCCGGATGCTGGGTACCGCCGTCCTCCGATCCATCGCGCCCACGATGCTTAGCCCTTGCTCGGATCTCGGATCTCCCCCTCATTCCTAGCGTACAGCGTGAGCGCCGCGACCACGCAGAAAGAGAAAAGGAACACGACCCGCGACCTGCCCCCTCGCGATCGGTTGCGTAGTGTGGCGCTGATAAGGCGGAGAGAGGATAGAGCCGGATTCGGGGCGAGCTGGTCCGGCGGACGTGGATATGGATGTTGGGAAATATTCACTTCCACCGCGATGCCCATCTGTCGTTGTTCGCAAGACCAGCACCGGCACTGGGGAAAGCGCCAAACATCACGTTCCGCTCGCGCCGCAGGTGTCTCAGCTCTGCCGCTCCTGGCAGCTCTTACCATCGCCGCCCCCATACTTCGACCGCAGACGGTGATTTCTTGTCACTATCAGGACGAGTCCGCCCGGCAACAGCAACACTAGTCCCTCGTGCGGTTCGGCAGCTACTTGCTTACGGTGTTCGTCGACCTCTTCTGTGCGCAACAGAGGCGCATCGAGCAACCTTGCAGGCTCAGGGCGTTCGTTCATCTTCCAGATCAGCATCGGCAGCTGAGAACGCGGCGAGCACCACATCTCGTGCCCTCGGTTCTGCTACTCCTTGCGCGCTTTTGCCATCGCTCAGATTACGGACACTGAGTACTGATTTCTTGTCGCTGGCAGGGCGAGCACGCCCGGCAATATTTATTTAGCGCCACTGGTGCCTCGTGCGGTCCAGAAATTGGTCACTCATAGTCCGTCGGTGCCGGTGCCGGTGCGCACCAAATACACTTCCAGGCTCGAAGTCTCCGTCCCCGTCTCTGCACCCACCCCCGCGCACTCGAAGTCTCCCCCCCCTCCGCTGCACCAACCGATTCAGACTCGTGCGTTGCGTCTACATCGCGTCGCGTTTCCAACACCGACATGCACGCGCCCGGACCGTGGACGTCATGGCTGGCACCTGCAGACCTGCTGGCACGACGGCTACGGCGCAGAGCCCCTGGACGCTCTGCCACCGGCGCGCACCGGCGCATGCGTGTTACTCTCGAACATACACGCACGAGCACACGTACACGCATCCTGACCATGGTCCGGGCCGTCGTCGTCGTCGTCGTCGTCGTCGTACATGTACGCGGACCTGACGTCGACGAGCCTGGCCATCCTAGCTATGTACGCGGGCTGCCGTCTGCCGCTGCACTCCACAGCCAAACCCAACGTCCATCGTCCGTGCGCAGCCTGGCGCACCTCGAGGTCCTGTCAATGGTCGGCGGTGCATGGCAGCAGCCCGGAATGCCCGCGAAGAGGACCGTATCTGCTCGTCCTCTTCTGCCACCCCCGCGGCGCGGTGCGGAAGGTGCGGAAGTCGACCAGGACGTTCATGTCGATGCGGCGGGGCGGGCCACGACGTCGACGCCTGTCGAGGTGCGTTGTGAGCATGCGGAGTGCTCGCTATGGACGCGATTCGTGCTGGAGGACATGGGCGTTCCCAGCCCCAGTCCAAGCCCAAGTCAAAATCCAAGTCCAAGTCCAAGTGCCGACATCGCAGTCAGTCGAGTTCCTGAGCTCGAGCTCCTTCCCGCCCGAAGTCAAGTCCGAGTGCAAGTCTGCTTTATCCTTCGACGGCCGCGGTGTAGTATGTACGGCTGTAGCAGCGGGTGAGGGGGGGGAGGGGGGGAGATAGGAGTGTACACCGAGCCGACGCTCGTGGCCCGAGTGGGGGGGAGGGTGAGGGGGGGGGGAGCAAGATGGACTCTGGACTCTGGAGCGCCTCCGCCCCCTCCCTCCCTCCTGTGTGGGCGTCATCTTGCATGCTGTCCCTTGTCTCTTGTCTCGTACGTCGCGGTATTTCAGTGCGACTCGCACTCGGAACGCGGTGGTGTTCAATGAAAATATGCAGACTTCGGGTTGATGGGTTGCTGGGGCTGGGATTAGGAACAGGAACGGGAGCAGGATCGCGCGTGTATTGTATTGCGAGGCGGAGAGGCGGAAGGGAGGGGGGGTAGTAGTGGTGAAGATGGGTCCTTGTCCCGGCCTCGGGGGTCTGCCGCACGCGCCGAGTACTAGTTCGACGCGGACGTGGAGCTCGAGCTCGGCGTCTTGTGTGCGTTCCGGTGTGTTGCGATGCGAGCATCGGTATGGCCAGTTCGCGCCTGCATCATGGTGTTTATTTATAATATCCAAGGACTGGCGGGCCATGTTGTACGCACTGGCTTGTTGCAAGCACCAGTGGGACAAGTTTGCCAATGCATTCGCCCGGATGTCCTATGCAGGTCGGGTCTGTCTGAGCGGGGTTTGGCTCGTGAAAGCCTATTGCAAGTAAAAGCGCCTAGGCCTCAGGCTGCTGCTGGACGGCTGGTGCGTGTGCGTCCGCTCGATTGACCATGAGTGCACGACGCTGCATCTGGATTCTGCGTCTGATGCGTGCGCCGGCCTTGATTGGACTCGCTGAGAAAGAATAGATCGAGACGGTATGGGAGAGTTGTGAAGTGGAAGGTACTTATGTGTGGACGAAGCTGGATGTCTATAAGAACAAAAAAAAAGGCACTCACTCTAACTCTGAGGTTCCCATTAGCCGACTTGAACGACTGACCTCGTCATGCGGGCTGGACATGCCAGGCTACTAGTGACGCGCTCTACCAGCTGAGCTAAACGGGACATGTTGGAGAAGTGCTGGTAAGCGTCTAGAGTGCTTGGCAAGGGAAGTGCACCGGAAGCAAAAATGGAAAGTAACCATACTTCCGTTCCCATTAGCCGACTTGAACGACTGACCTCGTCATTGAACCAGGTGAGGGTACTAGTGACGCGCTCTACCAGCTGAGCTAAACGGGAGATACAAGAGTCATGGCAGGGCAGGCCATGTGGTGGGCGCCAGGGGCCAGCGGTGCGGCGGGGGAGATGGAGATGGAGGGGATCTGGATGGGACGGCAAGAGGCGTGATGGGACGGGCGGGGCCGTGGGATCTGAGATGGGATCGGGGACGGGAGGGGTTAAAATGGAGAAAAAGGTATAAAAGTGAGCAAGCGACGGACGAGTGCGAGTGCGAGTGCAAGTGCCAGACTGTCCGCGATGGACTCTCCGTCGCCCGTGCCCCCGCCGACGCTCTTCCCCCTCCGCCCCGCAGAGCCCCACCACAGCGATGTCTACGTGCGTCTCACCTCTCCCATAACGTGACGTGACTTGACTCCCCCACATCCAGTTCGATATCAGCATCGACCACCGCCCCGCCGGCCGTGTCCGCTTCCGCCTCTTCGACGACGTCACCCCCGCCACCGCCCGCAACTTTCGCGAGCTCGCCACCGGCGCGCACGGCTTTGGCTACGCCGACTCGACCATCCACCGCATCATCCCCAACGTGCGTCCGCGCCCTCCCCCTCCATTCTCCCATTCTCCGCATGCTGACCGCGTGCATCATCATCACCATCTAGTTCATGGTCCAGGGCGGCGACATCACCGCGCGCGACGGCACCGGCGGGCGGTCCATCTACGGCCCTAAATTTGAAGGTCCGTCCGCGTTCCCGTCGTTCCATCGTGTCGTCCCGTCTTGCCGTCTGCGCGTGCCCATGCTTAGCTATTTTCAGACGAGAACTTCGCCATCCCGCACGACCGCCCCGGCCTCCTCTCCATGGCCAACCGCGGCCCGGGCACCAACAGCTCCCAGGTGCGCCTGCCCCCCCATCCCGCGCTGTCTCTGCATCCTGCATCCTTGAGCTCGCGTGCTGACGCAGAGGTGCGCAGTTCTTCATCACGACGGCGCCCGCGCCGTGGTGCGACGGCAAGAACGTCGTCTTTGGCGAGGTCGTGGACGGGCTCGAGGTCGTAAGGCGCATACAGGGCTTCATGTCCGACCATATCCTCCGCAAGCCCAGCGTCGATGTGCGCATCGTGCGCTCGGGCGTGCTGTAGCAAGGAGCTAGCCAGCACGCGCGTGCGGACTGGGATGATGCGCGCGTGCCGGCGGCGCGTATCGAGTCGGCGGCTGCAGTACGTATACGAACATGCGACAGACGCACCAGAATTAGGACCCGGACCCGGAACCAGGATTAGGATCAGGATCAGGATCAGCATATACTCACCATTCACCCACCACACGCCCACCCACCCATGCACCTATTCACCCGCACACGCCCGCACACTCACCTGCGGATACATCATGTCACTATAGCGTACCATCACCTCGTAGCATCACCCACTCACCTCACCTCGCCTCACCTCATCTCACTTCGTCTTACGGAAACGTACTCACCGCATTCTCACTCGCCTACCGACTTCGACCACTGCACACCCACACCCACACGCTCCCTCGCATCTGTCTCCCCTTTCTCTCTTTCCTTCTGTTTCTGTTTCTCTGTCTCCATCGTCATGTTCAGCTCTAGCCCTAGCTCTTACCTGTCGCCTAATATCCCCGCCGCACCCCGCACCCCTCCCACTCTCCTTCACCCTCTCTCTCTCTCCATCTCATCTCTCGCTCCATCTCATCTCACCGTGTCTCAGTCCCCATCGGATCTCGCCAAAATCGCACCTACCCCCGCCACCCCACATACCGCCTCCTACTTCTACTCTTACATTTACTTTTACTCTACTACTTATAGCCCGTAACGTCCTGTCCTGTCTTGTTTTGTTCTTCTATCTTCTAACTCTCTCTGGTATCGTATTGTCGTATTGTCGTATTGTCGTATTGTCGTGTTTCGGCGCCGCGCTGCGCGTTGCTTGCTGTTTGCTTGGTGGGTATCCCCGGCGGGGGCTCGAGTGCGTGCGATGGTTCGATGATGGACGTGCGGGTAGGTGGGTCCCGCTCGTGGTGGTATTAGGAGCGGCGAAGTGTACGGTGCGTACCCGTCTACTTGCACAGCCTGACCAGCGAACCGGCGAGCGAGCAGACGTCGGGAGATACTTGCACACGAATGAGGATATCAATGGTACGAAGGTGAGCGTTCGCGAGACGCCGGCTGATACTGATGATGGTCAGCAACCATGCATCGCGCCGGTGGCTGTCATGTTGTATCGGGCTGCAGGCTATGCGCACTACGAACGTTCAACGTTCAACATTGGACAGACTAAGTAGGGCTGTTGCAATTGGGATGCGGGCGGTCGACTCGCGGAGAGGCGTGAGTGCGGATTGCTCCCTGTGCGGCGGAGGCGGACGTCGCTGATTCGGTTCGTCGCGGTGTTGTGCGTGTATGCGGGTTAGCGGGGCGGAGGGGCTGGAGGTGGATTGTGAGGTCGTTGGGGTTTCGCTTGAGTCATCGTGTCGGGCGGGACGCGGGCGGGCGGGGAGAAGGGCAAGATGCGGAGGTGCAGGTTCAGGGAAGAGGTGCGTACGAAGTCATCTTGCGTTTTTCGGATCGCGCTGATGACTACGTAGCTGCGTCTTATGAAGACGGCGGAGATATGTCAGGACCTCGAGCTTCAGACTTTCTTTCACGACGGAACGCGGAACGCGTCGGACGTGCTGCTCTACTCGACTCGCCGTGCGCTGCCTCAGTACTCGGCTCGCAGTGCGTATCGCACACCTGCAAAACACGATCTTCGACAGCGCGATCTAGGATCTACCCTTGACAGCGCGATCCACAGCTAGGATCCGATCCACGCGCGTCTCTTCTGCGAGCTGGATTTACGCACTGCACCTGAAGCCTCGCCACCGGTCGTACGTACGTACATATACACCCCCCCCCCCTCCTTTCCTCACCTGCTCTGCCCCGACCCTCTTCACCCAAATCCCCAACCTCCGCACAGTCACTTCTTCACCCCATCAACCCCCTCAGGCCTCAGGCTTCAAAGCCCATCACGCGCACGCGCACAGTGGGACGTCATCGCGCTGCGTGCCGCACTCTGCATGCCGCACGCCGCATGCCTCCGGTCCAACATGCTGGACAGAAATAGGGATAGGGACAGAAACAGAAACAGGGATGGAAGACAAGAACGCATGCATCGGAAGGACGTGACGGGGGGCGTGCTTCTGATCCGCGCCGAGGACGTGTTGGGTATCCAGGATGGGCAGCCGTGGTCCGTGGTGGTTCGCCTGGATGGAGGTTGGGGAAGGGCTTCTGATGCGCGTGCTCGTGTGTGTGTGTGTGCGGGGGTGAGGTTTGAAGGGGGCGCGGGGTCGTGAGGGAGTCTAGGGGTCGTGTGCAGGGGTACGTGCGTATGGATTGAATCACATCCGTGTACGGCGAGTCGAGGTGAGTTGAGTTTGGGGTAAAGGTGAGGTTGTCTCCGGCTCCCGTGACGGTAGATCCGTCTGACGTTCTGTCCTCGCTTCATTTGATAGGTCTCGACCAGGTATGGACGCATGACGTATGGGACGCACGATGTACAGGACGCACGAGTACGTATATGACAATGATAGGATATGATTTGCGTTTAGGGTTTGTATACCGGCATCGTATTTCAGGTCCGTTTGGCAAGCTCGTCATTCGTCGCTCGGCGCCGCTCATCCCGCTGCGCGGCGACAGTGATGGGACGCCGTGAGCTGGAACGTCGACGTGCGCGCTGGGGTACGTGGGTTGGTGTCGGCGTTGGTCTGGGTTGCGGTGGGTTCCGCGTCTCGATTCTTCCTCGGGCTATACTTATGCTGACGCCAGAATCACAGACTCCATATCGCACTCTCTCCGCTGCGATACAGGCCAGCATGAGATAACCCGCCGAGCCTGCGCTCCCCCTCACCCGTCACTGAACAAGCACCCATGCGCACGCGACCTTGCACAGACGCATACGTCAGTACGTATACGTAAAATGCCTCACCCCGCACCATGCGCTGGCCTGCGGACCATGAGCATGGGCCTGGCCCGATCTCCACGTACCTCCATCTCTGCGTCTATATCTCCGTATGTATGTGGGCATGGGCATCCTTATTTCGTATCTCCATCCGAGTGTGCCGGTCATTTCATTTCATCTCGTATCGTATCGTATCGTCGCTTTATATCTGGGTCTTCTGCAGATCTATCTGCCCCGCACGATCCACGGCGCGCGATCCGCGAGGCTCGAGGAGTAAGTAGGACGTCATGCAATATTGCGATATAATGAAATTTCATTGATTTCATTAAGTATACACGCGCCCGGGCTCCTCATGATCATACGAGGGCGTTGACGGTCACGGGTGTCTGTCTGTCTGCGCGCGGGTGTCTGTCTGCCCTCGGGTGTTGACGTGGTCGAGCGGGTCGTGTGCTCGGCCGGTCGGGCATTCGGACGTCGGATGTGGCTCTGGGGTTACGCGGTTCATCGGAGGTACGTAGGTACGTAGGTAGGAAGACGTTCGGGTGTTCGGTGATAACTCTGTCTCGTCGTTCAGCGGTCGGCTGTGGGGTGTGGCCTGAGTCCGATGGGAGGTGGGCGTTCGAGTCCGACCCGACGCAAGGCGGCTGTGGGCGTCCTGAGTCCGAGTCCGATGGGATGCGGACGACGGAGGTGAAGAAGGTGAATGAGAGGAGGGATGCGAGGATGGAGGGTGGGATGGGATGGCCGGTGATGTCGGGTTCGAGCGTTGGGGTTGGGTGGTCGGCCGAAGGTGAGGTGAGGGTGGACGGGGTTGTGGGTTGTTCGGGAGGAATAAGGGGAGGAGAAGAACGTGGTGAGTCGTCGCTTCGTGGATACTTGTCTGGTTCTCATTGTCCGGTGAGTATCAGCTTCAGCGTCGACGCAGCGGGTCTCTAGATGCTATAGACCACCCGCTAGTATCGATGGACGTGCCGCAGCTACCACAGGCCTAGGCACAACAGTGGCATGGTGTAAATGCCTCGTTCCCACTTCATCCCCGTACGCTCAACGGCATCGTATCAGACGTACCAGGATAACTCACAGTGCGTCTTGCGCAGTTGAGTTGCTTGACCTCA